TTAAATCAATATCAACAGTAGTCTATATTTTCTGAATCCTAAAGTTTCAATGTTTTATTTATTTATTCTTTTTTATTTTATAGTTTATCTTTTTGACTTTGCAAATACACCATTTGGCGTTTAAATGGATTCTTTAAAAATATTTAATAGGTTAATTGTTGCTCCATGTCGTCTCTCCAAAACCAGGCCGCCTTCCCTCCCTCTGGCCCCGAGTCTGAGCAGGAGGATGCCGGGTAAAGCCCCAGCAGAGGCAGCGCTGTTTTCCCGCACCACGGTCTCCGGCTGCACGTTAAACCAGCACGATCGAACCTGCAGTAATACAATGACTAGAAATGAGAACGCAAGGGCCCGATTATAAATCCCTTCGCTTTCACTCGTACTTTTGTATCACTGTTGTGTTCATGATCGTATGAATATAACAATGTTATGAGTCCATGACCTTTGCACTACTTTTTTTTCTTCTATTCATTTGTGGGACTTTTAGGCATTTTGATTGATTGCAAGTCTCCACACACGTAAACAAGTATAGTATATAAATGGGGGAGTTTTGGGGGTCTTGGATTGAATTTTTATACAATAAGGATACTAAAATTAGGATTGTAAAAAGAAATGTTGACAGTCTCCATACATTGAATGATGGACCCTCATGTAGGCTAATTCAAACTTCACTGAAGTCTTTTGTCTGTAGCTTCACAAATGTTGAAAAGTGTGAAATACTTGGAGATCATCACGCAGGAAGGTAAAACAAATTATGCAAAGAAAGAGCAAAGGTGCGATTTTACTGTTCCTCTAATCCACTCTGTTTCTCACATGTGGCTCAAATAAATACGTGTTTAAAAAGGGGAAAAGCACATGAGCCAGGCAAAAGAGTTTTCCCAGGTCAAACCCTGAGAGGATCCGCATAGACAGCAGCTTTCACTCGCTGGAGGATGTTTCTTCTGCACCTTAAACTGTGGAGTCAGAAAGTGTTAGATAGTGGAGATGTAATTTCCTTAACTTTCCATTCATCTGTAACAGCACACAGGTATCTGACTGTAATATTATTAAAGTTATAGCCTCTGTAGCGTTTAAATAGTGCAGTTACAACACACACGTGAGACTGAACTGTGCGTAGAGTCAGGGTTTGTTGTAGAAAGGCTGCGCCATTACGATTTCATGCACACTGGATGTTGACGCTGCTTAGTTTGTAATGCAATGTACATTCAGACTCTATGTAACTAAATGTACATGCATGAGCCTGAGTTTAATTTCAGGCTTTCGGGGATTCTGATTAAAGAATACCATGCTAATTAGGGGAAATTATTATTTATTATAGGCATTATTTAAATTTTAGGTGAACCATAGTTTTTTTTGTATTTGGTTTGGCAGTAAATTGAAGTCCTGCTTTTCTCGTTTAGGCTGCACAAGTGTGTTTCTGCGTGCGATCTGACAGTTTCTCCAGCAGAGTCGTTTTATCATGCAGAGAGTTTTCAGGGGCTCTTCTGCTCCCTGAGACCTGCAGAACCACAGGTCACACATGCATTCACGCACACACACACACACACACACACACAGGGAGAGAGAGAGAGCGAGAGAGAGAGACACTGCAAGACAAAAAAACTCTCCAAATGGCTACATAATGTAAAGATATTTTTTTGTATATGAATGCATAACAACGTTATGAGCTGGTGGAGTGCGTGACCTTGTGTGAGGTGTGGCGAGTTGCAGGCGATTACTTTACAGCTGAGAGATTAGACATAAACACGGCTCCTGACAGCTTTTATCGGCCTCCGTGTATTTGATTGTCTCAAAGATCAATGCAAAGTGCTGACCCTGGCGCGCCATGCTTGTGTCAGCAATACCCACAACTTCGTTTTTCCAAAACATTCATGCAGCGACAAATTTATGCAATATAGACTGAGCTCTTTAGATTTTTTTGTGAATTTACTTGTTTTGTGTGATGGTGTTTTGTTCTCTTTCCCTTCACGTATTCTTTCTATTGTTATTCTATAGAAGTTACAGTCTACTGGTTCCCAATCCGCACTGGAATTTAACCCTGAAACGCCAGCAGCACTATAATGGCTTGTCCCTGCTCCCAGTATGGCCCCTTCAGGCTCCAGCAGCAGCCGTCGAGTTGGGGCCAGACAGCCTGCAATGCAGCCCCGGCTCCCCTTATCATCCCCAGGGCTGGAGCCTACTCCACATAGACTACACCGCAGTCTCATTAATCAGGGACACATCACGTCAAACGTGGCAGCATGAACGAAGGGCAAGTCTAGTCAGAGCTTCTTTGGAGTTCTAAAGGTTTTGCGCACCACACAATATCCTGACTTGTGGAGTAGCCTGGGGCAGGTTGCGCACTCATACAGCACGTGGCTTTGAGCTGTTTATCTACTTGTATTTTACACTCTGGATTTAACTTTTATTCCTCTTTTACAGTTGTTATTTTATCTTTTATTGTAGTCTAGTTATAGAGGGGAATTCAAAAAGTTGGCCACCTCTTTACGCACAGCCTTTCCTGCATTTTGCACGCACGCTATAAAACTCTCTTTAGTGCAGTGTTCCTGTAGGAGTGTTGTTTAGCTCCGGCTTATGGAAGGTGTTCCTCTCTGTTGCATAAACCTCGAGTGCAGCTTCCATGCACGCACCACCTCATGCGTAGTGGTTTGGGAATGGCTGCATGCGTAAATGTCTGCGGTTTGCCTCGTGTTATTATTGCAGGCTCCGAAGGGCCACCACGTCTTCCGTCTCCCTCTCTCTTTCCCTCTCTCTCTCTCTCTCTCTCTCAAACACACACACACACACACACACACACACACACACACGCACACCCACACACGGGAAGGGAATCCCTCTCTACACCGTTGGAGTTAAACCATGAACATATTGCATGTGCTCATCTTTTAAGTAGGCCTATATTTAACACTATTGTTGGTTTAAACTCCCCACAGTGTAGATAAGCATTTGAGGTTCATTTCCTTTCAAATCAGAAACCTCAAAAAAACCTTACTGTCTCGAATTGAATATATACCTCTAATAGTTCATAAATACCTTCATAAATGAATGTGGTGTAGAGGAGTCTAAATTAAAAGGTGGAGTGATTTAATGTCAAACTATTTAGCAGGTAATAAAGATGAAAAGCAGATGTGTACCCAAAATATAATATTATTAAAAGATAAGGAAAATATTTTATTTCTTCAATTTCATAAACCTCTCCTATGTTACTCAAAATCTCAGGAAAACTTCCCCATAATGAAATGTATTTATATCCCCATACACACACACACAATTATAGTAAATACTTATCCTCCTAAAAAAGAAAGAGAAAGCAGTCATGACATTTACACTCAGTCGCTTTTAATGAATGCTTCATAATAAAAAAAGAAAGGGAAAGTGCTTCAGAAA